TAGTTTTTGAAAGGGTTTTCAGCCATGGGGGGTATCTGAAGCCATCAGGAAGGTATTTAGGTAGTTTTTGAAGGGGATTTCAGCCATGGGGGGTATCTGAAGCCATCAGGAAGGTATTTAGGTAGTTTTTGAAGGGGATTTCAGCCATGGGGGTATCTGAAGCCATCAGGAAGGTATTTAGGTAGTTTTTGAAGGGATTTCAGCCATGGGGGGTATCTGAAGCCATCAGGAAGGTATTTAGGTAGTTTTTGAAGGGGATTTCAGCCATGGGGGTATCTGAAGCCATCAGGAAGGTATTTAGGTAGTTTTTGAAGGGGATTTCAGCCATGGGGGGTATCTGAAGCCATCAGGAAGGTATTTAGGTAGTTTTTGAAGGGGATTTCAGCCATGGGGGTATCTGAAGCCATCAGGAAGGTATTTAGGTAGTTTTTGAAGGGGATTTCAGCCATGGGGGTATCTGAAGCCATCAGGAAGGTATTTAGGTAGTTTTTGAAGGGGATTTCAGCCATGGGGGGTATCTGAAGCCATCAGGAAGGTATTTAGGTAGTTTTTGAAGGGGATTTCAGCCATGGGGGGGTATCTGAAGCCATCAGGAAGGTATTTAGGTAGTTTTTGAAGGGGATTTCAGCCATGGGGGGTATCTGAAGCCATCAGGAAGGTATTTAGGTAGTTTTTGAAGGGGATTTCAGCCATGGGGGGTATCTGAAGCCATCAGGAAGGTATTTAGGTAGTTTTTGAAGGGGATTTCAGCCATGGGGGGTATCTGAAGCCATCAGGAAGGTATTTAGGTAGTTTTTGAAGGGGATTTCAGCCATGGGGGGTATCTGAAGCCATCAGGAAGGTATTTAGGTAGTTTTTGAAGGGGATTTCAGCCATGGGGGGTATCTGAAGCCATCAGGAAGGTATTTAGGTAGTTTTTGAAGGGGATTTCAGCCATGGGGGTGTCTGAAGCCATCAGGAAGGTATTTAGGTAGTTTTTGAAGGGGATTTCAGCCATGGGGGGTATCTGAAGCCATCAGGAAGGTATTTAGGTAGTTTTTGAAGGGGATTTCAGCCATGGGGGGTATCTGAAGCCATCAGGAAGGTATTTAGGTAGTTTTTGAAGGGATTTCAGCCATGGGGGTATCTGAAGCCATCAGGAAGGTATTTAGGTAGTTTTTGAAGGGATTTCAGCCATGGGGGGTATCTGAAGCCATCAGGAAGGTATTTAGGTAGTTTTTGAAGGGGATTTCAGCCATGGGGGTATCTGAAGCCATCAGGAAGGTATTTAGGTAGTTTTTGAAGGGGATTTCAGCCATGGGGGTATCTGAAGCCATCAGGGAAGGTATTTAGGTAGTTTTTGAAGGGGATTTCAGCCATGGGGGGTATCTGAAGCCATCAGGAAGGTATTTAGGTAGTTTTTGAAGGGGATTTCAGCCATGGGGGGTATCTGAAGCCATCAGGAAGGTATTTAGGTAGTTTTTGAAGGGGATTTCAGCCATGGGGGGTATCTGAAGCCATCAGGAAGGTATTTAGGTAGTTTTTGAAGGGATTTCAGCCATGGGGGGTATCTGAAGCCATCAGGAAGGTATTTAGGTAGTTTTTGAAGGGGATTTCAGCCATGGGGGGTATCTGAAGCCATCAGGAAGGTATTTAGGTAGTTTTTGAAGGGGATTTCAGCCATGGGGGTATCTGAAGCCATCAGGAAGGTATTTAGGTAGTTTTTGAAGGGATTTCAGCCATGGGGGTATCTGAAGCCATCAGGAAGGTATTTAGGTAGTTTTTGAAGGGGATTTCAGCCATGGGGGTATCTGAAGCCATCAGGAAGGTATTTAGGTAGTTTTTGAAGGGGATTTCAGCCATGGGGGGTATCTGAAGCCATCAGGAAGGTATTTAGGTAGTTTTTGAAGGGGATTTCAGCCATGGGGGGTATCTGAAGCCATCAGGAAGGTATTTAGGTAGTTTTTGAAGGGGATTTCAGCCATGGGGGGTATCTGAAGCCATCAGGAAGGTATTTAGGTAGTTTTTGAAGGGGATTTCAGCCATGGGGGGTATCTGCAGCCATCGGGAAGGTATTTAGGTAGTTTTTGAAGGGGATTTCAGCCATGGGGGGTATTGATGGAGGTGGGAAAAGATGTGGTGGAGTGGGACATGTAGGGTAGCCCGAAGGCCAGATGGTTGCAGTCGCGAAGCGACTGTAACCATCTGGTAAATACATAAACCAGGTATGCCTTACTGAGCGTTGCGACCGGCTCCACGACCCATTACGCAATGGAAAACCGGGGGCTGCGTTGCGTGTCGCGACCGATTAACCCATAGCCGGCAAACTCCATAGCTTGGACCGTCCCTTTAAATTAAGTGTCCCAAGTTTCAGATTCTTCAGCTGCCGTTTGTCCCAAATTTGCATCCTCAAACATCCCCAGGCATCCGCATTCCAGCTCCAGAAAGAGGGAGAGAGAGAGAGAGAGAGAGAGAGAGAGAGAGAAACAGACAGACAGACAGACACCTCGAACACTGTCCCCATCATCCGATCGACATCCCCATCCCCTCAAAATTTTCTGGCAAAATCTCACTGCCCTGCCCTCCTGGACCAATGATTGCATGTGGCAACGAGTGTCCAGCCAGGGTCCTTCCCTCCCTTCCGATGGCCCGCTCAGCGGCATGTAAACAGAAAATTGGGGGCTTGGCTGGGCCCTCTTCTCCCCCCGGATAGGTCCCTAAAAATTCTTCAGCGCGCCTTCTTCTTCTGTGATTATTTGCGCACCGGGTGGCGCATGTGCCGAGCGGACCTCACTCACTATCCCGCCCGCCCTCGCGCCCTGCCAGCCGCACCCCTCAATTTTGCCCGCTTTCCAGGGCGAGAGGGGCTTTTCCCTTTTCGTTTCTGCTCTTAGCTCGAAAAAACAGTGTTCTGTCGTCTTGGGATTGAGTGTCGGGGGTATACTCGATTTTTTTGGGTCCGCAAGGTTCAAGATCTACGCGCTTCTGGGTGATTTTTAAACTTCAAAACTGGTTTTATAAGATTTTAACGCGTAGGTTCCGCATATCAACGTGACTAACGACCAAATCACTTTCAAATTCTACTCTAAAAGAGCTAAGAATAAAAAAACTTTTTTAAAAAGGTTTCACGATTTTTCGAGCCAAAAACAACACGGAAAAATTGAAATCGGACATTTCCACGCCTAAAACACATCTTCTAGCTTATATTTCTTCATTTTTCGACCCCGATGCAAACAACTTTTTCTAAAAAAGCCCGGTTATTTTTCCCACTTTTCTTGATCGTAAAGATCGTATCTTACGATCTAAAATACAAACTAAAAGACCGAAAACTACCTTTATAGCTAAAAACGAATCTTTTAACTAAAAACTATTAAAGCTAGAGGGTTTTTCGGTACTGGTGCCTTATCAGGGGGAGTCATTGGGGGGGAGGCGACGCCGACTCCCCCCGCTTTCCCATTTTTTCCCTATTGGAGGCCCAATCGGGAGCCCCCACCCCCGCTAACGAACCAGAACCGATTTTCTAAGCGCTTTCTAATAACTCTATAAGTAATAGTACTTATACTCTTTAATAACGATCAAGTTATAGCCTCCACAATTGGACAGTTCACCCCCCCCGCGCGTCGGGCAGCCTTACCTTTACAAAAGCAGGCAGCGCCCGCACGCGTGGAGGCTCTATTTGCCGGCTAAAGGAGTATAGAGGAGTAGAGAGCAGAGCAGGGCCCTAAGAAGCCGCCCCAGACGCTCTCGTGTGGACCGCCATTGGCCCACCCGCGCCCCCGCATCTACCAGTTTGCCTGCCCCCTCTACTCAACTCCCTAGGTTCCCAAGAGTTGCCATCGATCCGCTGCATGTGACAGATTGGTTTTTGGGGGTGTGTGGGGTTGTGTCTGGTTTTGTGTCTTTGCTGCTCCTCCTTCTGATCGCGCTCATTTTGAAGGGCGCAGGTCAGAAGGATCTGTTAGCCCGCGCCCCCCCCCCCTTCAATTGTGGCTCGGCTCCCCGTTGTGCCACAGTATTCTGAAGTATACCAAAATATTCGCCAGGCAAAGGGGAACATTTTGGTCTACGCTACGCAACTGTACATCAACGAGGAGCCGAAATACTAATGTTGGGAATCGGCGGGAGGGGGCTGTAACGTTGCCTACCTGACGAGCAGATTTTTTTGGCTAGTTTCGAAGCTTTTTAGATGATTCTCGATACGCTATAGCTCAATAGGTCGTGCTCAAATTTCAAAACGAATGAACAACGATGGCCTTCGAGAAAACTCGCTCTCAAAGAGCCGATTTTTGGCCGTTTTGGCCCCCCGATTACCGAAGTAGAACATGAAAATTGGAAGATCGTGAGCGATCAGCAGTTTTTCGAAGCCGAGGTTTGTTCCGAATCTCAAGCACTATCCATGAGCTATGTCATAGTGCAAAAGCGCAAGCTAGAAGCCAGAGGCGGTTCAGACGTATCTGAAAAGCTTCATAAAAAACGCGTTTTGTGAAAACTTCGTTCCTTATTAATACAGCACCGTTATTAAAGTGTTATTTAGTAGTAAACGATACTTATATTCGATATTTGCTAAAATCCATCGCCAGCGTCGCATCCTTTTCTACAAGTTTTGCCCTCACGACGTCCTGATTCGTAAAGTTTTCCGAAGACTTGTCTTTGGATGCTAGCAAATTTTAGGAATCGATTAATCACCCATAAAAAAGTTAGCAAAAGTTTCATTTATCTAAAACCGCGACTTCAAGTCACTATCAAGTGCTAGCAGCTCATCATTTCTATTTTGCAACACCGCGCGCTTTTCCCCGGCGGAGACTACGTAACCAACATACCGATCGACATGTCAAACCGACACATGGCCCCTGCTTCTGCAAAAACCGCGATCTTGTCCGCCCACGCGCGCCGCGTCCACGTAGCTTGATCGCCCTAGAATTGACGTATGTCTCCGGAATTTCCGTTTCTTCGTCCTGTCTACTCTCTAATCTCTTCGTGTATCGACGCTCATTAATCTCTATGAACATATTTTTCAGGTAATGAAGGAGCCATGCTTTCGGTGTAAGCGGCCCACCTATTTCAACGACAAAGTGAGTAGCTTGTACGGTACTGGTTTGTTAGCGGGGGATCCATTTATTCAGCTTAATTCTTATTGTAATAAAACCTAGACTTTTATTTATAGTTTTTGCAAGTTTTTGGTTGCTGAAAACAAAGAAATAAAGACATAAAATCAAGAAGTTTCTCAAATTCTACTTCTTGATCTTTTTGGGGCTATTTTTAGACGTTGTGGAGCAAAAATCAACATCAACAAATTTTTGAAATATGCTTCATCGGCTTCCTATACTTAAAAACCACGTAAAAAGCTATATAAATGGGTGTATGTATCGCTATTTAGATCTTACGAGGGCGATAGGGGAAAATTAGCTCTGCCGCTAATAGCCCAGTACCGATAAACCAATATATTTTTATCGAACGGGGACGAAAATTGGATATAAAACGCTGTAGAAATTTGACCAAAAAACGAATGATAGAAAGTATAATAAACTAACTTCCGGCTCCAGGTTGGCCCGCTGAAAGACGGTTCCCTGTTCCACAAGGGGTGCTTCAAGTGCTGGATCTGCGGGACGCGGCTATCCCTCAAGACCTATCACAATAACCGAAACGACACGCAGGATCTCGAAGTGAGTCGAGAAGATCGTCTAAAAAATAGAATTTTGAGCTTAAAAAAGTAAAATTCCACATCATGCTTAGCGAAAATCAATAAATCAGCTGGCTTTAGGTTTATTGCGCCAGCCACGTGCCAACCCCTGGACCCCACGACCCAATCCCGCACAGGTAATTTTTTAAAGGGATGCCGACGGTATAGACAACCGATTACGCGCGGAAAAGAAAATGTCTCTGCGCCTCTCCCCTGTTGGCTACTTGCCAATTTTTTTGATGAGGGGGGATCGACACATGCCGTCGGCAGCCCTTTAAAGGTTCAAAAGCCCTTACAAATCCTCAAATAGTTTTTTTAAGTTTAAAAGTATTTATTGGCTCTAAACCACCTTTTTTAAGTAATGATGGCCTCTAAAATAAAACTGACTTACAAAAACCACTTGTTTTTGCAGGTCAGTTTTATTTTAGACTATGGTTTCTAGGTCAAATCTGCTTGTTTGGTCAAATGCTTCAAATTAAAGGTATTTATTTACCGGTTCTTATCTGCTTCAACGATTTTAAAAAAGATTCACCTTGCTAAAGCTTTAAAAGTATTACCCGACCCGAAACTTCCCTATTTAAAAGCCTTAAAGGGCTGCCGACGGCATGTGTCAATCCCCCCTCATCAACAAATTGGCAAGTAGCCAACAGG